GGTCGGTGTCTCCCAGGCGCAACAAAGCGCGCAAGGACGCTAAGAGGGTAAGCTAGGTCTGGGCGAGTACAGGTCATCAGGTACATGAGACAACCCACCAGCTCAGGATATGGACCACTGGACTCAAATGACTCGTCCGAAGGTGGAGCCGTGAGCCCATGATCCACACCAAGAGGGGTGAGCTGTACCTTGGAGAACGGGAAGCGAAACCGCGTGAGGATCTGCTCGACCATATGCGACTGAGTCAGTGTAATGGTGCGAGCTGCCCTGTCCCTGGTGATCTGCAGGCCAAGGTAGTGCTGCAGCTCACCAAGGTCAGTGCAAGTGTGTCTCCTCTGCAGTTCCTCCTTCACGGAGGCCAGCGCGCGGCGGTCGGGAGTGGCGAACACTAGGTCGTCGACGTAGACCAGGACAAAGAAAGGGGTCGAGCCACGGTGAACGAACAGTGACGGGTCAGCAGACGACGGAAAGAAGTCAAGAGCTGCAAGGGTCGAGCGAAGTGTGTCGTGCCACTCACGTGGGGCCTGACGCAGGCCGTAGACTGGTCGACGCAGCTGCCACTGGGTCCCAGGTGGGAAAGAGCCAGTGAAGCCAGGCGAGCGACGCAGCCAGATCTGCTCGTGCAGGCTCCCCTGAAGGACCGCGGTGGAAAAGTCCAAGGAGTGCAACTCGTAGTCGCGCTGGGCTGCAATATGCAGCAACACCCGAAGAGTACTCATCTTCGGGGTGGGAGCGAAGGTCTGGAAGAAGTCCACCCCCTCTCGCTGACTGAAGCCTCTCGCAACATAGCGCGCCTTGAACACAGGTGGTGATCCAGGCGGCCGCTTCACCTTGTAGAGCCATCGGCCACTGACGACATTCGTCCCAGGTGGTGGGACTGCGTCGACGTAAGTGCCTGTGGACCTATAAGATGCCATCTCTGCCTCCTCAGCTGCTATCCAGTATGAAGCCCAGGGTCCCGAGACCGCCTCGGCGTGAGTGCGAGGGATCGGGATGTCAAGGGCGTCTGGATCCCCCTTAGGGGCAAGCAGCATGGCGCAGAGATGAGGAACAGCGGCCGCAAGGAAACCAAACTCGAACTGCCTGTCCTCTAGGACCTCCAGGGGAAAGACAGGAGCACCCCCAGAGGACGGAGAACGTGCAGGGCCACTCACCAAGTGAGCGGCGTAGTCAAGGCGGTGGGAAGAGGCAAAGCCAGAGACAGTGGTAACAAGTGCTGAGACAGACGATAGAGGTGCAGTCGGGTGAGTGACCAACGCGGACAAAACACGGGAGACGACAGGACGGGAGGCACGGAGGTAGTCGGACAACGGGTCGTGAAGCACAGTGAGGGACGACTCAGGGGGCTGTGGAAGGACAGGAGGAGGTGGAACACGAGAGCGGAGAAGAAGGTGAAACGGACCGTCTGCACGGTAACGGGACCGACGGGGCTGTGGAGATACAGCACGACTGAGGGGAGGACGACGAGTCCACTGGGAGGAGGAAAGGGACTCAACAGGGGGAACAGGAGGGGACGGTAGGGGACCACGAACAAAGCGTGCAGGTGCTGGGTCGGGGAGGTCGCGTAGTCGCAGTCGCTGCTGCTCCGCCTCCTCTGGCGTCTGCTGCGACGGTACCGGCCCCTGCTGCTGCTCCTGTGGCTCCGCCTCTGCCCTCTCCTGCTGCGGCTGCAGCTGTACCCACTGCTGCGACCGGGACTCCTGCGCTACCCTCTCCTGCTGCTGCCGTGACTCCTCCTCTACTCTCTCCTGATGGGTCTGTAACTACACCTGCTGCTGCGGGTGGGACTCCTGCTCTACCCTCTCCTGGTGCGGCCGTGACTGCTCCTCTACTCTCTCCTGCTGTATCTGTAACTGCACCTGCTGCTACGGGCGGGACTCCTGCTCTACCCTCTCCTGGTGCGGCCGTGACTCCTCCTCTACCCTCTCCTGCTGCGGCTGCAGCTGCACCCGCTGCTGCGACCGGGACTCCTGCGCTACCCTCTCGTGCTGCTGCTGTGACTCCTCCTCTACTCTCTCCTGCTGCTGCTGCTGCTACTGCTGCTGCTGCTGCTGTGCCCTCTCAAATCGCTCACGCTCCTCCCTCTCCAACCGGAGGAGACGCTGCTCACGGGTCAGGAAACGTACAGTGCGCGGTGTAGGCGCCACAGTGCCAGTGCCTCCAGCTCCAGCACCCCCAGAACCAGCACCTCCACCACCGACACCCCCGGGGCCTCCAGTACCTCCCGCAGGAACACCCCCAGGCTCCGCAGCAACCGGCCGCAGAGAAGAAGGAGGAGGAAACTGCGGGACGGACGGGAAGCCAGGGGGTGAGGCAGGGCGAGGCCGCCGACTCGAGGCTGCCGTGTCCTCCACAGGAGTGACCTCCACGCCCACAACCCCTGCACCCCCAGAGCCGACACCACCAGCTCCTGCAGCCCCAGTACCCTCACCCTCTGCAACTGCACCTCCCGCACCCCCAGACACGACAGAGACTGGACGCTGCGGGGGGGACGACTGCGGAGTGACGTGCGACACACCTGACGGGGCACGACGCGAAGGGGGGGGGGGCTACCGGGGCGACTGGTGGGGGCTCAAGGGTGAGGAACAGCGGGGGGGGAAAGACCTCAGTACCTCGGTGGGGGCGACTCCTGTAGTAACAGACAGACTCGTCGAACATGACGTCCTGAGAGGCGAAGAACTGGTAGGTGACCGGGTCGTAGAACACCCAGCCGGAGGCGTCCAGAGGGAAGCCAAGAAAGACGCAGGCACGAGTGCGCGGAGACAACTTGTTCGCGCCAGGGGCGCGAACGTGAGCCAGAGAACCCCAGACACGGAAGTCAGCTGCTACGCCCGGAGAACCTGTCCAAAGGGAGACCGGCGTCACCCGTGACCGTGCGTCACTGGGCCACAGGTTCAGCTGATGCGCGGCGTAGCGGACTGCCTGAGGCCACAAGAACTGGGGGGCACCGGCATGGCACATGGAGGTCCGGGCAACCTCCATGACCAGGCCGATGCGTCGCTCGGCTACCCTGTTCTGCTGCGGCGAGGCTGGTAGCGTGTAAGACTGGATAATCCCCCGACCCTGACAGAACGTCTCCAGGCGAGTGGAAGAAAACTCACCACCACGGTCCGAGTGTAGGCGAAGCCCACACAGGCCCTGGGCGCCACCCCACGCTAGTAGCCACGGCTCGAGGACGGTAGGCACGTCGGCCTTCCGTCGCAAAGGGAAAACCGTGGTGTAGCGGGAGTAGTCGTCCACCACAATCAGGAAGTAGCGCTCCTGACGTGGTCCAAGGACCGGGGAGGGGCCCCAGACGTCCAAGTGCAGGGTCTGGAAGGGAGCTGTGGTGGGGGGGAACGAGGAGGAATGAGGGGCAGCGCGCTGCCGACCCTCGACGCAAGGAGTGCACAGCGGCGCAGGCGAGCGAGGAAGCGGGGCAAGCGACTCTGGGAGACCTGAGACCAGACGGTAACGTGCCATCCTACTGAGACGTGGGAACGACGGGTGACCTAGACGGTGGTGCCAGAGGACAGACGGGTGGGCGAGGGAGCGACAGTCGCACGACACAGCAGCTACGTGACCTGACCTGACCTGGCCTGACCCAGTGCGGTGGGACCCTGTGTGTAGTGAGTACAGACCAGAGCCCGGCTCCCGGTGAAAAGTGGCCAGAGGGGCCCCAGTGGTACCGACTGTGCAGGAGGCAACAGGCTCGTCCAGTGGGAAAGTGGTGACTACACCTAGGTCGTGGAGGTGACTGACACCCACCAGGTTCCTAGAGAACGAGGGGGTGTAGTAACCTGTAAGAAAACCTGAGGGAGCCGCCGGACACGGGAGAGTGGTGGTGCTGCGAGCAACTACAGGTCCCACAGAGGGGTCAGCCAAGGCGACAGTGACTGGAGTGCGCAGTGGTGTGAGGTCAGTACAGTCGCGAAAGAAACAGCTGGACGCTCCAGAGTCTAGGGTGAAGGAAAGGTGTGCAGTCTGTGAGGTCGCACCCGAACCAGCTACAAAGGCTGGTGCAGGACTAGTGGTAGCTGCAGCTCCTACACAAAGACCCTTAGAGGCGCCTGGACTGGAAACAACACACGCACCAAGACTGGAAACACAGGTCTCTACTCGTGCAGCCGGGAACGGTCCTAGACCAGGCAGGTGGGACTCAACTGGTGCAGCAGTGCGCTGGCGAAGACGCGAGGGCCAGTGCGGTGTAATAGCGTGAGAACCAAAACGCTCACTGTGGAGGTCGTCGAGTCGACGGTAGCAGCTGGACGCAGAGTGGTCAGGACTCCAGCAGGTGGTGCCAGCACCAGGGCCTGTTAGGGCCCGTTACCCGCAGGGGCCGACGTCTCGCCCACTGCTAGCTGAGCCACTGCTGGGGGCTCCACCCTGTGGACCCGCAAGTCCCCACTGCCAGGAGTGTTGCGGCTGGCCCTGCTGCTGTAGAACTCTGGTACACGCCATGTGGGCCTAAGCTGCTGCTGGTTCTGCTGGGGGCAGCCTAAGCTGCTGCTGGTGCGCTGGCGGCAGCCTAAAGTGCTACTGGTGCACTGGGGGCAGCCTATGCTGCTGCTGGTTCTGCTGGGGGCAGCCTAAGCTGCTGCTGGTGCGCTGGCGGCAGCCTAAAGTGCTACTGGTGCGCTGGGGGCAGCCTATGCTGCTGCTGGTTCTGCTGGGGGCAGCCTAAGCTGCAGCTGGTGCTGGTATAATCGGCTGGGGCTACTGGCGGCGGGTGTGGCAGCTTGTGAGGAGGCGGGTTTCAGGTGGGGAAGCTGTTAAGGCAGCGGGCTACGGGTGGGGAAGGTGAGGCGGCGGTTCTGTGCGGTTCTGTGCGGTTATGTGCAGTTCTGTGCGGTTCTGTGCGGTTCAACGCGGTGGAGAGTACTGGGTGGGGCGGCTGAATCCGGGTGAGGTGCCTGGAACGGGTGGGGCGGCGGTTGTGAGGTCTGGGGCGGCGGTTTTCAGGTCTGGGGCGGCGGGTTTCCAGGTTCGGCGGCGGATTTCAGGTCTGTAATGGCGGGTTTTCAGGTCTGGGGGCGGTTAAGACGGTGGGCTGCACGTGCGCGCGGCTGCTGCACCACGTGCGTGCGGTCGCGACGTACTAGCGCGGAGCTGCGGGTGCGACTAAGGCTGTGCGCGCAGCTACGCGCGTTCGTCTGCTGCGCGCTAGAGGGCTGGGGGGGCAACGCACGTGGTAAAACGAGTGGGGTGCGGGGCAGAAAACCGAGTGACGCACGGCAAAAACGGGTGGGGTGCAGGGCAGAAACGGGTGACGCGCGATGGCGACGGGGGGCGCGGCCTACTCGGGCTCTACGGGGCAGGGCGCTGCGGGCTACGGGTCGCTACGAGGCGCGCGGGTGGTGGGCCCATAGACTATCGAGAGAAATTTCGCCTAGGGGGAAAAATCGCCTAGGGGAAAAATCGCCAAGGGGAAACCTAGCTCTATACCATGTTACGATATGAATGAATTGATAGAAAATGTGAAGTACAACCCTAGATATAGCAAACCCTAATCATGCAAGTAAGTAGAAATGTAACACCTAGACTAACCTAAACAACACATATAAAATATATGTTGACACTACCTTAGGCAGCGCGCCCCGCAGGCAGGGCGCCCCGTAGGCCGCGCGCCCCGCAGGCCGCGCGCCCCGCAGGTATCGCGCCCCGCAGGTAGCGCGCCCCACAGGTAGCGCGCCCCGCAGGCAGCGCGCCCCGCAGGTATCGTGCCCCGCAGGTAGCCCGCCCCGCAGGAGTCGCGCCTCGCAGGTAGCGCACCCCGCGGGCAGCGCGCCCCGCAGGCAGCGCGCCGCGCGGGTAACGCGCCTCACGGGTAGCGCGCCCCGCAGGCACCCTAAACCCGTGGGTAGCGCGCCCCACAGTTAGCACACCCTGCAGGCAGCTCGCCCCGCAGCGCTTTAGCGCCAAAAAAAATAATTAATTCATTAAACCCAAAAAAAAGGGGTTTAGGGTGGGGGCCTGCAACTGTCGCCCGCGTTCCTGCCTGCCGGATGACCTGCACAGCCTACATCCCGCAGCCGCCCGTACTGCAGCCCCTACTGTCGCACGTAATTTCCAGTGCCAGTGGCTCTACTAGCGGCAACCGACAGCCGCACTTACTGTCTCTAGCTCCAGCCGTTCCTACCTCCAGCCGGCCTTAGCTCGCAGTTTTTTAGCTCCATCCAGTTGTGCTCCAGCCGTTCTCGTTCCAGCCGTTCTAGCTCCAGCCGTTTCAGCTCCAGCCATTCTAGCTCCAGCCGTTCTAGCTCTAGCCGTTTCAGCTCTAGCCGTTCTAGCTCCAGCCATTTCAGCTCCAGCCGTTCTAGCTCCAGCCGTTCTAGCTCCAACCGTTCTCGCTTGAGCCGTTCTCGCTCCAGCCGTTCTAGCTCCAGCCGTTTCAGCTCCATCCGTTCTAGCTCCAGCCGTTCTAGCTCCAGCCGTTCTCGCTCGAGCCGTTCTTGCTCCAGCCGTTCTAGCTCCAGCCGTTTCAGCTTCAACCGTTCTAACTCCAGCCGTTCTAGCTCCAGCCGTTCTCGCTCCAGCCGTTCTCGCTCCAGCCATTCTAGCTCCAGCCGTTCTCGCTCCAGCCGTTCTAGCTCCAGCAGTTTCAGCTCCAGCCGTTCTAGCTCCAGCCGTTCTAGCTCCAGCCATTCTCGCTCGAGCCGTTCTTGCTCCAGCCGTTCTAGCTCCAGCCGTTTCAGCTCCAACCGTTCTAGCTCCAGCCGTTCTAGCTCCAGCCGTTCTCGCTCCAGTCGTTCTCGCTCCAGCCATTCTAGCTCCAGCCGTTCTCGCTCCAGCCGTTCTAGCTCCAGCCATTTCAGCTCCAGCCGTTCTAGCTCCAGCCGTTCTCGCTCGAACCGTTCTAACTCCAGCCGCCTACAGTCCCTTGTCACTACTCGCTCCAGCCGCTCCTCGTGCCAGCCGTTCGTAGCCTGGCGGTCCTAGCTGTTTCTACCTCCAGCCGGTCCTAGCTCCAGCAACACCTCTCTCCAGCAGTTCCTAGCTCCAGCCACTCCTGCTCCAGCAGTTCCTAGCTCCCTGCTAGCCTTTTACCATGGCGTCCACTCGGGTCTTACAGCGGCAGGGACAGCAGCAGTTTCAGCAGTGAGTACCCCAGCAGCCCTGGCACTCTCCGCAGAAGCGGCACCCTCCGCAGCAGTGGGGGCCTCGTGGTCCGGGGAGCGTCTGCCCGGACGGCTGGAGGGGTAGTCGTGGTGGCCGCGACGTTGGACCCAGCCAGTACCGGATCCTGACTGGCCCTCGTGCTGGCACTACTTGCTGGCGTCCTGACCACTCTGCACTGCGCTGCTACAGCCGCCTCGACGACCTTTACCGTGAGCGTTTTGGGCCTGACTCGGTTCCCTCGATCTGGCCCGGTCTGTCTCGTAGTGGTTACCGTGTGTTTGATATGTCTATGGATGCTGTTTATTCTGTCACGTATGGATCTCTTGACTTACGTGTACCCAGCTTAGGTCCTTTGCCTGTTGCTAGTGTAGGTGCTTGTGCTTCTAGTTTAGTTGCTTGTGTAGTTACTAGTGCAGCTGTGACGACTGCTGACGCGTCACTCTCCTTCACGCTGGAATCTGGCGCATCCCAGTGTTTCTTCTGCAACCACACCACTGTCACACCTCTTGCTGCTCCGGTCCCAGTTGCCCTGGCTGATCCTACTTCAGGACCAGCTGTCGCTCGCAGTTCTACCACCCTCCCGTGCCCGGCTGTCCCCTCTGGTGTCCTCACTGGTCTCTACATCCCCTCGTTCTCTCGGAACTTGGTGGGTGTTGGATACCGACCATGGGATCACAATCACTTTTCATCGCACGGGAAGACTGCGATCTGTACAGACGCTTCCACCGGGGCAGTTCTTGCCACGTTCACCAGAGAGCCCCACTCAGGTCTCTTCGTCCTGCACACTCCGCCCCCCCAGGTAGCTGCGTCTGGTCAGGTTACTGCACCCGGTCAGGAAGTTGCCTCAAGTCAGGTTGCTGCGTCTTGCTCTTGTCGGTCACTCTCCCACCCGACAGTTCTGTGGCACCACTGTCTAGGTCACCCGTCCCTCCCACGCCTCCGTAGCATGGCCAGCCAGCGTCTTGACTCAGGTCTCCCGCGGCTCTTTGAGCCGCTCCCTCGCTCGCCTGTGCAGCCGTGCACTCCTTGCGTCGAGGGTCGGCTGCGCACCACTCCTCACTCCTCCTCCCTTTGTTCAGCCACCGCTCCCTTCCAGACGCTCCACTTGGACGTCTGGGGCCCAACCCCTCGTCTTGGACCTGAGCGGGAGCTTTACTTCCTCGTGGTCGTTCACGACTACTACAGGTACACCACTGTGTTTCCTCTCGAGAAGAAGTCCGAGGTGACTTCTACGCTGATCCAGTGGCTCCTGGCCACTGAGGGCACTCGTGGTAGTCGTGTCAGTTATCTCCACTCCGACCGTGGGGGTGAGTTTCGCTCCGATGTACTTGCCGAGTTCTGCGGCGAGCAGGGCATCACACAACCCTGGACGCTTCCGGAGTCCCCACAGCAGAATGGGTTGCTGAGCGCCGCATTGGCTTGGTCATGGAGATCGCCGGCACCTCCATGATCCATGCCCGTGCACCCCATTTTCTGTGGCCCTACGCGATTTGCTACGCCGCCCACCAGCTGAACCTCTGGCCTCGTGTCTCACGACCAAGGGCTTCACCGACCAGTCTTTGGACCGGGTCCCCTGGTGTTGCGTCGGAGTTTCACGTCTAGGGCTGCCTTGCGCTTGTCCGCGACACCTCTGCGGATAAGCTCTTGGCTCGCGCCATCCCCTGTGTTTTCCTTGGTTTCCCAGTGGACTCTCCTGACTCCCGTGACGTCCGGTTTGACGAGTCCGTGTCCTACTACACCCGGTACCCCTCTCGAGGTCTCCCGCCCCACCCTCCTCCTCTTCTCCTCGCACCCTCTCCTCCTCCTGCTCCCGCTCCTCCGGTACCCCCGCCCCCCCTTGGTCCTGCCCCGTCAGGTGGCGTCTCCCTCCCCGCAGTCCTCCTAACAGTCCCCTCAGCAGCCTTCGGCACTTCCGCGACAGGTTACTGTGGACTCAGGAGGTGTTGGAGCTGGAGGTGCTGCCACTGGAGGTACTCGGTCTGGGGGTGCTCGTTCGAGGGGTGTTGGAGCTGGAGGTGCTGGCAATTGAGGTGCTAGTTCTGGGGGTACTGGAGCTGGAGGTGCTGGCACTGGTGGTGCTAATTCTGAGGGTGCTGGAGCTGGAGGTGCTGACACTGGTGGTGCTAGTTCTAGGGGTGCTGGAGCTGGAGGTGCTGGCATTGGAGGTGCTACTACAGAGGAGACTGGAGCTAGAGGCACGACTACTGCGGCGCCCACTGCGCCCCCCAACCGCTACGACACGCGTCTCCAGGCTCTTCGCCGGGTTGAGCGCGAGGAGCAGGAGTGGTTGGAGCAGGAGAGGCAGGAGCTGCGGCAGTTGGACCAGCAAGAGCAGCAGCAGCAGCAACAACAACAACAGCAGCAGCAGCAGCAGCAGCAGCAGCAGCAGCAGCAGCAGCAGCAGCAGCAGCAGCAGCAGCAGCAGCAGCAGCAGCAGCAGCAGCAGTAGCACCACCAGCAGCAGCAGCAGCAGCAGCAGCAGCAGCAGCAGCAGCAGCCGCAGCAGCAGCAGCAGTCGCCGCAGCCGCCACTTTTGCAGCAGCTGTTACCACCAGTGAGTGGACTTCGGGCCCTTGGTCTTCCCTCCTCTCCTCCTGTCCACTCACAGTCTCCTACCGTGTACGGTCCTACGTTTCCTCCTCCGGACTCGGCTCCGGCTGTTTTCTCACCTTCTCATTCACTGTCGCCTCCTCCTGTTCTCCCGCACGACTGGACCACTCGTTGTCCTCCGCGTGCTCGTCCTTGGTCTCCTTTTGACGACCTCCGCACTGTCTTGTTTCGTTCTAGTCCTCGTCGTGCTCCGCATGTGTCTGTTCTCTCGCCACCTCCTGCGTCGTCTCTCACTGTCTCCTGTCACCCTATCACGGACTACTACCGTGCTGCTCGTCCTATTGTCTCGCGTGTTCTCACCTCTCTTGTCACCGACCCTCGTGCCTCTCCGTCGTCTGTCTCGGCTCTTACTGTCGCTGTCACTGGCTTTGCTGTCACCCGCCGCTTTGACTTCGCCACGCCTGCAGTGGCTGCTCCGCCTGCCTGTCCTCTCTCTGCCGGG